TAAGATCAGCATTTTAATTTAATTTTAAATGACGCTTCTTAAACATTTTGAAAACCTTGTTTACTTTACATACAATAGTTTAGTTATATAATATAGACTTATAGAAAGAGACCTTCTAAAAACGTTAAAATGTATTACTGGCACGCGAAACCTTAAATTAGAGTGAATAAATGAAGACTCGGCACATCACTTCTGAAAGGTTGCCGACCCCTGGACTAGATGATCATAAGGGTCCCTTCTGACCTTAAAGTCTATGAGTCTATAAGTATCCTAGGGCATCTATCTGTGCTGGGAATGACACAGTGGAGACAGGGAACTGTCCAGCCTGGGAATGCCCTGGGCAGAAGGAAGAGAGACTGGTGTCTCCACCCAAGAGAGGCAACATCTTGGGTGCTGAAAGCCAAGAGTAGATTCCCTTGCTGAACTAGTGAAATACAGGTGCAGTTGGCCTTAACTGTGACAGTAAGAACCTACATGGGGCACAGAAATTTGATAACAGAGGGCTCTTAAATCTAAGGGACAAAGTATAACAAGATCCAATGACTGGAAGCTGAAACTAAACACAAACTCAGGATGAAGCACAAATTTTTAACTGTGAGGGTAATTCACCATCAAAACAACTTACCAAGACTTGCGATGGATTCTCCAACACGGAACATTTTAAAATCAAGATTGGATGTTTTTCCAGAAGATATGCTGTCATTCAAACAGGAATTAATTTAGGGAAGTCCTATGTTATACAGGCAGCCAAATTGAAGGACCACAATTGTCCCTTCTGGCTTTATAATCTACGATTTTGTGAAAATAGTATCTTAATTCCTTAGGGTTCATTTGAGGAATAAGAATTGGGAATACAATCATAATCCTCTGTTTCCTATACCATAAATGCAAAGAGGAGATAGCAATCCTCTATTTTGGGGTACATCAGAGGCAACTTGAGTTCTAGTTTCCCCAGTCTGATCAATTTGAGGTAAACTTGCCCCTCTCTTCCTTCCACCCCCACCACAAAAAGAGATTCCTTCCACTATAGGACGTTTCTTCCCTACTTGCAGGAATAACAGTACCTAGACTTATAGATGTGGCCATTTAAAACATCAATTCTAGTTTCTGCTGCCCTCATTTTCAAGTCAGAGGTCTTAAGGGCTGCCATAACTCAGGGCTTAGCCAGGGCCATGCATGCTCTAAAGTACTGGCATCTTAAATTACTTCGGTTTTCTTGGTAAAATCATGAGTTTACATGCCCCGTTCAACTTCTCAGATTGGAACTTGACCATGCCAGCAGAGAGCTAATGATGGAAACAAGAAGCACAAATAACTATTAATCATCCTTTCATGCAAGTAAAACGTTACTCAATTTTACCTGATTCTTGACAATGCAGCTTCAACTAGCCAACTCCTGAAGTACTGTAGTAGGTGGTATCCGTGTTCCAAGGGAATCAGCACACAACAAAAAACACCAATAACACTTTCTGGGACCGACACAGAAGAGGTCGGATATGTCACATAACTTGGCACTGTAAGTGCAACAGGTTGAACAGACAAAGACATTACAGCCAGAATGGCGAAAGCCAGACATGCCTTCATAATGATAAAACCAATCTGGAGGGCAGAAATCTTGACCTCCAAACAAAACTTCAAATTAAGACCACTACTTAGTCGGTCTTACTATCTGGCACCGAAACTTGCGAAACTTGTGAAGACCTTATCATCTAAACTCCCATGTTTTCATAAACAATTGCATTAGACAAATCCACAAACAAAGAGCTCTGGAGGAGGACAAAACAGAAACTGATAGGACAGGAAATTACAGAACGAAAGTGGAGATGGCTAGGACATAAATGGAGGAATGACCTGAACAACATATCCAAGATAGGTGTTGGACAAGAAACCCCCCCACCCACCCCTAGGGCAAGAGGTGATGAAATAGACCAGGATAACATGGAAATGCACAACAGAAGCAGAATTGAAAGCTATCAGATTGACATGGGAAGAAGCTAAGATTGCAGCAAGAGTATATCAAGGATGGAAGGCTGTGGTGCAGTTGTATGTTCTGGATGGCATAAACATAAGTAAGTCAGAGTAGCCCAGGAGTGAATGCATACTTCCTTCACTCAGGTAGATGACTAAACGAGTGAACTTAAACTACAGCATTGATCAATATTTTCTCTGCAGCTCTTTCATGGTGAAATTCATCCTGCCTGCTCCTCCCAAAATCTAAGCCAGGGGTTCTCACAACTAATTTTTTGGTGGCCTCATACCGGAGCCACCAACTCTGGCTGTACTGACAATTTTTCCTAAAATACTTAATTAACTTTAGGAAAAACAATTAAAAATGCATAAATTCACATCCAAGTCATTGTAATTTATATTCGTAGGTTTTTTTGGCAGACTCAATAATAAAAATAATGCTGTCCCGCCCCGCCCCGCCATCCAGGGCTTAATGGGTCCTGGGGCTTGCTGTGAAAAGTGATATTTGTATATTTGTTAATATCGCATCACACTTAAGCTACCTGGGAGGCTATGAAAAGTGATCAGTGATATTAACAAACATACAAGTATCACTTTTCACAGATAGCTAGTAAGTCTACTGTGAAAAGTGATACTTGCATGTTTGTTAATATCACCTTTCTCAGCAAGCCCCAGGACCCATTAAGCTCTGGATGAGGGGGGGAGGGGGCGAAGGGGAGGCAGCAGGGGCCAGAGGCGATGGTGGGATGGATGTGGAGCCAGGAGAGGCAGTGGGGGCCTGGGACAATGGAGGGGATGGATGCGAAGCCAGGAAGGCAGCAGGGTACTGGGGTGGATACAGGGCCATGGGAGGCAGCGGGGGCCAGGGGCAATGGGGATTGGTGATGAGCCCCACTATCACGTGGCTAGAGTCTGATGTCTGCTGCACTGCGGCCAGGGCCGGGGCTCAGTACCCGCGGCCAGAACCTGGAGCCAGGGACTGGAACTGCATGGCTGGAGCCAGGGATCAGAGCCCACTGCTGCGCAGCTGGAACCAGGCGCAGGACTGAAGCCCCGCAGCTGGAGGCCAGAGCCAGGGTGTGCGTGTGTCAGTAACTGCTGCCCCGCGGTCGGAGGCTGGGGCTGCATAGCCAGGTTCCTGATGTCCTGGCGCTGGAGCCTGCCACCCAAACCCCCTCCCCACAATGTGGGTCAAGAACTCACCTTGTTCCTGCAGCATTGTGCCCCACCTCTCTCCAGAGGCGGTGCAGGGCGGTGCAATGAGGAGCAACAAGGAGGGAGTGTGAGGGGCCAATGTTTTCCTCCTCCCCCCCACTGCCCAGGAGGCTGTTGTGGCCGCATGAAAAGCACCTGGTGGCCGCATTTGGTCTAAACAGTCAGGCTTTGTGTTGGGAATTCCGCAACAGCAGCAGGAAGGGAAAGAATGGAATCCATACCCAAACCTGCAGCCAGGCAACAGAGGTACAGTGCGTAATTTCTATGGCCACTCTTCCAGCCTGTGGCCCTGAACAGTGACTACAGCCCCTTCTAACTCCTATGAAAGGGTGCAGTGAGACTGGATCAGCATAAGCATCGATCTAGTGGTCCTTTACCTGCCCTGCCCCAATAGGCTCTTTTGTGTCAGGCTATTTGAAACTGAGGCCTGGTCTACACTACAGAGTTAGGTCGACATAAAGCAGTCGTCAGACGTAAGGTAGACGTTGCTCCCACCAATGTAAATCGCCCGCTACACTGACCTCATAACTCCACCTTTGCAAGCAATGTAGCCCTTAGGTGGAGGTAGTCAGGGTGACAGTGTGTCTGTGTAGACAATGTGTTACTTTGCCTGTTTTTGGCTGTCAACCCCATGCAGGGCTCAAAGCTGGAGACATCCCCATGCTCCCTGGGGCTGACAGTCTGAGCTATCAGCCCCACATGAGGCTCACAGCTGGAGCCTCCCCGCCCCAGGACAGGGGTGGGGACTCCAGCTGTCAGTGCCCCACACCGTTAAGTTGGTGGAAGTATTTCTGGTGAAGACACACACCACTGACAGAGGGGGCATAGTGTGGACAGGAAGCACCACAGTAAGTACTGCGATCGCTGTACATCAATTTAACTTAGGTTGACTTAATTTTGTAGTGTGCACTCACATCTCCGGCTGCTTCATCTATGCACCCTCTGCCCCTGCTCCTCACAGACACAACCCTAAGGGGAGGACCTTGTATGAACCCTCCATGACTGTGTGAATTTTACCATCAGTGAACAGGAATACCTTCCCCACCCTACTGCATAGACCTCATACCTTTGTTATCATGCACCGCTGTTCTCAGGTGACAACTCTCACTTAGAGTTGATGCTTTCCTATTGTGTCCAGCACTTTTCTCAAAGGAACTGAAGCGCCTGTCTGTACTTGCTGTATAGATTCTATCTAAAGATATAAACAGAACTATAACTGAAGAGCTTTACTAAAAGAAATGTGGCTTGACTGACAGTAACAACAAAGTTACTGCTCTGATTTACTGTGAAAGCAAGTGGAGAATAAAATGGGATCTAAATAAAGAATAACGTAAAGGAACTTTTTATCTGAGGTACAGCTTAAGCAAGAAAGCTCTTCCAACTGCTACAGGGAAAAACAAATAGTAATACGGGAAATGGCCTTTAATAGTATGGTCTTGTCTGCACAAGAAACTTGCGCTAGTTAAGCTAAAATCAGTTTTTAATTTGATGTAGCTTAACTGGTGCAAACCCCTGTGTAGACACTTCTTATACTGATTTAAACCTGATTTAGAAGATTCCTTAACAGATTAAGCTACATCAATGCAAGACAGGTTTAAATTAATTTGAGTATTCACACAGAAGTTTGCACTGCTTTAACTAAATCAATTTAAAAATAAACCTTTAATTAAACTTTTAATGTAAACAAGGCCTAAGTGAGGCATCTAGAAAAAAATAAACATTCACTTTAGAAAGCAAGCCTAAACATCAGGCTTCAAAAGACACAACTCACTAATGGGGGCTTATGTCAGCCACATTATTTACCCCGAATTGTCAACCCTACATGTTCAAAAAATCATGAGTCAAGACCCCAAAATCATGAGACTGGCTTAAAAATCATTACTTTTTTTAAAAAGAGGTAATAAATTTGGGGGTTTTGTTATTTGTCTTCTGGTTTCTGAGTCTTTAAGGTGCACTTGCTTCATTTTTTTCAAGCTTTTCTCTGTAACCATGAGGGCTAGAAACTTACTTTTTTAAAAACTGAAAGCCGAGCTCTCATACAATCTGTGGAAACTTGTGGTAAAATTACGAGAGTTGGCAACGCTGAAATGGAATCAGCATCTGATCACTTCATTTTTGAAAGTCCTGACTTGTGTGTGTTTAAATTTTCAGCCTTAACCACATTTATATAGATTGTGCTTTATATTTTCAGACACATACTTTGCTTTAAAAAAATAGAACCATGGCGTGGTTGGCGTGGAATTGAAGAACTTATCTTCTCTTTGCGTGCACTTTCTTTTTCTTGGTGTGGAGTGAAAGCACATGTAATCATCTCTCTCTGCATGATCTCTCTTTCTCTCTGTTTGTCTATTCTTGCTTTCAACTTTTTTGTTCTCTGTTCTTCTTGCCATTCTTTAGGAGAAAGTTTCATCAAAAAATCTTCATAATATAAACTCTCCATGAGAAGGAATTCGGCATTTGCAATTTCACTACAAAAATACATTAGAGTATACAGTTAGTATATAAGCAGATATACAAAAAAAAATGTAAAGTGTAAATTATATCAACTTAAAATGACATTATCTTAGTCACATATTATACTGGCATTTTTCAAAATGTCGGTTACTGAGAAACCCTCTCACATCTGGGTCAGGAGGTGACTTCAAAGTTCCTCCTCAGCATATGGGCTCATACTTATTATAGATACTATGGTGCAGAATTAAAAAGGTGTGTTGAACTGTTGACAGCCTTTCAATGAAACACTAAACACAAGTTATTTCTGCTGATCTCTCAGGAAAGTGAATGAGAAATTTCTTACCTGATCATTTTCTTTCTGCTAGCCATCTCTCTCCCCATTTATCCCTAATGGGGGAATGTCCCCCCACTCCAAGGAATTTGGAGTGGTCCAGTGTTGTTGCTGGATACTGCAGGACTAAGCACCACCCTTCAGGTCAGGCCACCAAGCCATTAGAAGAGTTCTTCCAGAGCAAAAGAAACACTCCAGCAACTGATTTATTAGTATTTAGAGAACTTCCTGATATACTGATTAACCCCAATAAAATTAAAAAAGGGGTAAAAAACAAAGGTGATGTCATGGTAGGGATCTACTACAGACCACCTAACCAGGAAGAAGAGGTGGATGAGGCTTTTTTTTTAAACAACTAACAAAATCATCCAACGCACAGGACTTGGTGGTGATGGGGGACTTCAACTACCCAGACATCTGTTGGGAAAATAACAGAGCAGGGCACAGATTATCCAATAAGTTTTTGGAATGTATTGGAGACAATTTTTTATTTCAGAAGGTGGAGAGAGCTATTAGGGGAGAGGCTGTTCTAGATTTGATATTGACAAATAGGGAGGAACTGGTTGAGAATTTGAAAGTCGAAGGCAGCTTGGGTGAAAGTGATCATAAAATGATAGAGTTCATGATTCTAAGGAATGGTCAGAGGGAGAACAGCAAAATAAAGACAATGGATTTCAAGAAGGCAGACTTTAGCACACTCAGGGAGTTGGTAGGTAAGATCCCATGGGAAGCAAGTCTAAGGGGAAAAACAACAGAAGACAGTTGGCAGCTTTTTAAAGAGACATTATTAAGGGCACAAGAGAAAACTATCCCACTGTATAGAAAAGATAGGAAGTATGGCAAGAGGTCGCCCTGGCGTACCCAGATCTTCAGTGATCTAAAAATCAAAAAAGAGTCCTACAAAAAGTGGAAACTAGGTCAAATTACAAAGGATGAATATAAACAAATTACACAAGTATGTAGGGACAAAATTAGAAAGGCCCAGGCACAAAACGAGATCAAACTAGCTAGAGACATAAAGGGTAACAAGAAAACATTCTACAAATACATTAGAAGCAAGAGGAAGACCAAGGACAGGATAGGCCTGTTACTCAATGAGGGCGGGGAAATAATATCAGAAAATGTGGAAATGGCAGAGGTGCTTAATGACTTATTTGTTTCGGTTTTCATCAAGAAAGTTGGTGGTGATTGGACATCTAACGTAGTGAATGGCAATGAAAATGAGGTAGGATCAGAAGAGGCTAAAATAGGGAATGAACAAGTTAAAAATTACTTGGACAAATTAGATGTCTTCAAATCACCAGGGCCTGATAAAATGCATCCTAGAATACTCAAGGAACTGACTGAGGAGATATCTGAGCCATTAAGCGATTATATTTGAAAAGTCATAGAAGACAGGAGAGATTCCAGAAGACTGGAAAAGGGCAAATATAGTGCCAATCTATAAAAAGGGAAATAAGGACAACTCGGGGAATTACAGACCAATCAGTTTAACTTCTGTACCTGGAAAGATAATGGAGTAAATAATTAAGCAATCAATTTGCAAACATCTAGAAGATAATAAGATGATAAGTAACAGTCAGCATGGATTCGTCAAAAACAAATCGTGTCAAACCAACCTGATAGCTTTCTTTGACAGGATAACAAACTTTGTGGATGGGGGAAAGCAGTAGATGTGGTATATCTTGACTTTAGTAAATCTTTTGATACTGTCTTGCCTGACCTTATCATAAACAAACCAGGGAAATGCAACCTAGATGGAGCTACTATAAGGTGGGTGCAAAACTGGTTGGAAAACCGTTCCTAGAGAGTAGTTATCAGTGATTCAGTCATGCTGGAAGGGCATAACAAGTGGGGTACCACAGGGATCAGCTCTGGGTCTGGTTCTATTCAATATCTTCATCAATGATTTAGATAATGGCATGCAGAGTACACTTCTAAAGTCTGCGGACGATACCAAGCTGGGAGGGGTTGCAAGTGCTTTGGAGGATAGGATTGTGACGGGTTGGATCACAGAAACCCCCTTGGGGCTGCCAACTGATGTGCCAAGACTACTTCTGCCCCTGCTTTCCCTGCCAGCTTGGGACTTGGGAAATGACTGCCTAGGAAGGAGTACTGCGGAAAGCGATCTGGGGGTCATAGTGGACCACAAGCTAAATATGAGTCAACAGTGTAACACTGTTGCAAAAAAAGCAAACATCCTTCTTGGATGTATTAGCAGGAGTGTTGTAAGCAAGACATGAGAAGTAATTCTTCTGCTCTACTCTGCGCTGATTAGGCCTCAACTGGAGTAGTGTGTCCAGTTCTAAGCGCCACATTTCAGGAATGATGTCGACAAATTGGAGAGAGTCCAGAGAAGAGCAACAAAAATGATTAAAGGTCTAGAAAACATGACCTATGAGGGAAGATTGAAAAAACAGGAGCGAAGGCACTACAAGACTGAGCGTGCTGTACCATAAACAAAAGATGGCAGCCTTCCGGCTATTACCAGGCAAGGGAGACGCTATATATGATGTCACTGCTAGGATGAGTCCCATATCAGTATGAGCTTGGCAGGATTGCTCTTCATGACACTGCCATCTCTGACCTCACATTTTTCCTGATTTTATCGGCAGTTAGATTATTTATTTATTTTAAAAAGTTATGAAGGCACGGTCAGAATTTTACCAGTAGCAGCTGACCAAGAAAACCCTGCCTTAAGAGGCTGATAGCAGACTTACTTGTAGAAATACTAATTTTACAAGTGCAATTATCATTTTTTCTCAGCCCTGGCCTCCTGCCTGTCAAATGAACAATTAGTGAAGGGTAAGGGTAGGATAGGGTAAGGGTATTTGTGTAGTCAGATGTGTATATTTTGTCATATTTGAATGAAAATGTCTATATTTAGAGAGAATCTTCTTTTCCCATATATCCTTTATTTATCAACCAATTTTGATAAAACTTGAAATGGAATCAGTTTTTTCTTTTTTAGAGGCCCCTCACATTGCGAGGCCCTAAGCTGTAGCTTAGTTAGTTTATGCCTTAATCTGGTGCTGTCTGAAGGTCTTGGCATTTTGCATAGAATGAGATGAACAGGGTACAAGTGGCATGTGTACTCTATATATGCTTGAGATATATCTTTAGAGCACTACAAGGAGGGAGGGATAGCTCAGTGGTTTGAGCATTGGCCTACTAAACCCACTTAGGGATCTGGGGCAAAATCAGTACTTGGTCCTGCTAGTGAAGGCAGGGGGCTGGACTTGATGACCTTTTGGGGTCCCTTCCAGTTCTATGAGATAGGTATATCTCCACATATTATATGGCACAACTTCCCAAAGGAGTGCTAAATGTTAGAGCAAAACGATAGAAGAACTATGACCAAGGAATTGTGGAAAGAGAAATTTATCTTGACCAGAAAGATTTCTGGAGCTATAAGAACAGTAGTGGGCAACCTGTCGGCCGCACCAGACCGTCAGGGTAATCTGATGGTGGGCTGCAAGATTGTTTGTTTATGCTGACCGTACGCAGGCATGGCCGCCTGCAGCTCCCAGTGGCCATGGTTGACCGTTCCCGGCCAATGGGAGCTGCGGGAAGCGATGGCCAGCACATCCCTGCAGCCCATGCCACTTCCCCCAACTCTCATTTGCCAGAAACGGCAAACCACAGCCACTGGGAGCTGCGGGCGGCCATGCCTGCGTATGGTCAGCGTAAACAAACAGTCTTGCGGCCCGCCAGTGGATTACCCTGATGGACCGCAGGTCACCCACCACTGTATAAGAATATCCTTTTCCTCAACAACAGCAGTGTGGTTTTCATACAGAGGAACCAATTCAAAAATCTGCTTTTCTGTGGTAATGGTGACTAGAAAGGCCAGCCCTTGGCTTGTCAAACCTGTCATTCTGATTAATCTTGGCATCTGATAATACCTAAATGGAGAAGCCAATGTGCCTCCCTACAGAATGCCACCATGGCCAGTACTCATGTTTCTATGGTGCTTAGTTGTACGACTCCAACCAACCATCCTGGAGAAACTCTAGTATAGCTGAGATTACCAGAACTTTGTGATTGTCATTATATTTGTATTACAGTAGCATCTACAGTTCAGGGACCCACTGTACTGGGTACAATACAAACATTTTTCCTCTTTCCCCTCACATCAGAAACGTAAATTTGTCCACATCAATGAATGAGATTTCCTGGTTGTATTTTTAAATTTTTGTTATGCATGCATGGTGTTACCGCTGGCTGTTTACAGGGAGGAAGTAATATGCTATTCATCCTGGCGTGGGGACCACACAACCAAAGAGAGGTCTGGCTAAAAATACCTCACTGTGGAAGTAGCTTGACTGAGATCCCTGGGAGTCTGCACCCAAGTGAGTAGTGTAAAGACAAACTAGGACCACTTGGGCCTTTACTCGGTAAACAGGAGCCATTTTTAACATGAGAATGGATTTCTCACTTTCCCCTTTATCATCCCATGAAGGTTCAGCTTCCTGGGGAGTGGAATCCTCAGATGCCTCTCTTCTTGTAAAGTTCTCTCAAAAAGCTTTACAATGTGAAATGAAGAACTATATAAAACTAAATTATACTGAAGTATTTTGACACGTGGTTTTGTCTTCCAGCTTTTATCAGTCAGCTATACAAAATGACTAATATTTTGACTGATTTAAAATGAAGCACTGAGGGACAAATTCATCCCTACTGTAACTCCACAAAAGTGAATGGTATTATGTTAATGATGGGTTATTTAACAGTAACTAAATCCCCATACATTATTCTGTGTACAGATCTCAACTCTGGTGAGCTACCTGGATGCCAGCCATTATTAAAAAGAACTATGAACCCATTCTCAGTTTTTGCTTCAGACAATTTTCACACTAAAACCTAAAGTTTACATAGTAAGCGGAAAACATTCACAAACTAGATCCAGGGCAGACTGTCCTTTTTACCAGCTTAACAGCTTTGCTAGCAACACTATGTCCCCACCCTCAAACTTGTGCATGTCCCAAGCTGAGAGAATCTCTAATATTATCCTTATACATATGCGCGCACGCACACACACACACTCTTTACTAAATACACAGTTCACACAAATAAAATACTAAAAAAAACCACAACACACACACTCACACACACACAGAAATCCAATCTAGCAAAACAGCACCTGACATTGGCGTGGCACGGAACACCATCACTCCTCACAAACCTGACCAGGTCAAATCCTGACACTGCCTACTTCCTCTTTGCAAGCCTACGGTGCAGTTGCCCTGCTCCCCACTTGTCTCCACTACTATCTTTGGTTATCGGTTTAAAGGAGTTTGATCTGTCAAAATGAAGATACAGTATCATATTCTGTACTGCTGTAAAACAGTTAGGTCTGTGAAACTGTCTGCTGCACTTAACTCACTTCATGGGGATCAATGGGTGTGGGGGACAGGCCCAAACTGTGCACCTACAGAACAGCTCAATGTGGCAGTGGGTGAACCTCAAAGATTAATTCCCCCCAGAGTATTCTTCAGAAGAGGAGAATCTGTGCCACTGTTACCATAAAAAGAGGAGTACATTTGCAACATAAAAGTCTCACCTTTTAATAGCGAAGAGTTCATTAATAGCAGACTTTACATCTGCTGCCATATCCATTTTAGATTTTGTTTCTTGGGCTGCACTAAAAAGTAACATGGAAATATTACAGAGATGTAGGTGTACGGTTTTTGGTAGATCAAAAATTAAAACAAACATTAACTGTAATAGCGATTCTAACATTTTAAGTGCATCTGCAGAACTTCGGTCGTTTTCTTTCAGAAATTCCTCAAATGCAATTGTATCGTCTTCTAGCTTTGCTTCGGCAGAGCTGGCCTCTTTCTCAGCTTGCATTGCTAATTTCTCCAGCTTCTTTATGGTTTGTTTTTTTACTTTTACTGTGTACTAGCAAAACAGAGTGGGGAAATGTTATGTACAAAATAATGTCCAAATGTATTCATTTGTATTTCATCATTTCAGGGAGCAAAGTAAACTCAGCAAGATGTGCTCAGAGAGATAGGAATAGCTGCCCTAATTCAGACAAGGATCTACAGCATGAATTAAAGTCCAAAATATATTATTTCAATGCTAAGTTTACAGATTTAAACACAGTGTCAAGAAATACAAAATCAAGAATCCGATAGTTACATTTTTCACTCACACTACATATACCAAGCCTGATTCTCCGTTGTCCTAAGGCCCCTTTATGCTGTTTTGGCAACAGAACGAGACCTTAGAGGTAACAGAGCTTTCCCCGGGGACTATCCTCAGTGTAAGGGAGTTCCTCGGGCAGTACAGAGCTGGCAAAGTGACTCTGTACTGGTCCCCAGCCCAGGGGGCAGAGCTGCAGTCCTGCTGGAGTTCAGGGCCGCCCAGAGGATTCAGGGGGCCTAGGGCAAAGCAATTTCGGGGGCCCCTTCCATAAAAAAAAGTTGCAATACTATAGAATACTATATTCTCGTGGGGGCCTCTGCGAGGCCCAGGGCCTGGGGCAAATTGCCCCACTTGCCTCCCCCCCTCTCTGGGCAGCCCTGCTGGAGTTAAAGAGTTAAAAGTTAATAGTATGGAAAACCCTGCACTGTCGTCTGTGATGTATATTCTTCAGATATACTGAGAATTTCTGTCTCCAGCGATATCAAAACTTCCAAGTAAGGTCTGACTTGTCACTGAATTGGTAATTGTAGAAAAAAAGCAACCCATCCAAACACTTTTATTATGATGAATGTGAGCCTTACTCAACTTTTTTACCAAATTCAGGGCCAAGTCCTTTAAATACTTAAATATGTGAGTTAGTTTTACTCACACAAGTAGTTCCAGTGACTTAGATGACATTGAGTAATCTCAGCCCTGGTCTACACTACAAGTTTAGGTCAAATTTAGCAGCGTTGGGTCGATTTAACCCTGCACCCGTCCACACGACCAAGCCTGTTTTGTCGACTTAAAGGGCTCTTAAAATCTATTTCTGTACTCCTCCCCGGCGAGGGGTTTAACGCTAAAATCGACCTTGCTGGGTTGAATTTGGGGTAGTGTGGATGCAATTCGACGGTACTGGCCTCCGGGAGCTATCCTAGAATGCTCCATTGTGACCGCTCTGGACAGCACTCTCAACTCAGATGCACTGGCCAGGTAGACAGGAAATGCCCCGGGAACTTTTGAATTTCATTTCCTGTTTGGCCAGCGTGGCAAGCTGATCAGCACAGGTGACCATGCAGAGCTCATCAGCACAGGTGACCATGGAGTCCCAGAATCGCAAAAGAGCTCCAGCATGGACCGAACGGGAGGTACTGGATCTGATCGCTGTATGGGGAGAAGAATCCGTGCAGGCAGAACTCCGATCCAAAAGACAAAAAGCCAATATATTTGCCAAAATCTCCAAGGGCATGTAGGACAGAGGCTACAACAGGGACACACAGCAGTGCCGCGTGAAAGCTAAGGAGCTGAGGCAAGCCTACCAAAAAACAAAGGATGCAAACGGTCGCACCGAGTCAGAGCCCCATACATGCCGGTTCTATGATGAGCTGCATGCAATTCTAGGGGTGGCCCCTACCGCTACCCCACCATTGTCCGTGGACACCTGCAAGAGGGGAGTCTCACGCAACAGGGATAAGGAGTTTGAAGATGAGGAGGTGGAGAAGATTGAGGATAGTGCACAGCAGGCAAGTGGAGAATCCCTTCTCCCCGGCAGCCAGGAGCTGTTCATCACCATGGAGCCAATACTCTCCAAACCCTCCCAAGGCGGGCTCCCGGACCATGAAGCCGGAGAAGGAACCTCTGGTGAGTGTAACTTTGTAAATATAATACAGGGCTTAAAAGCAAGCATGTTTAATGATTAATTTACCACGCCGAGCCAGTAGCAAGTAGTCTGGAATCATTGCAGAACAAAACCTTGCAGCGAATGGGCCCAGGCTTTGGCTGTTTGCCTTTGGCTGAAAATAAATCATCCCCACTGTTAGCCATGTGGTGGGGGGAGGCCCGTTCATGGCTGACCGGGATCTTCCCTGATACTAGCCACACGGGTGTGTGTGTGTGTGTGTGTGTAGCGATCATCCCAGAGAATTGGGGGGGGGTTGGATTGTGCTGCATATTCACCCTAAAACCACAGCCCCTCCTTTTAAATGGCCAACCCAATGGGCTTTTCTTGGCATGGAAAAGGAGAGCGCTGCTGTTTGAAACTGTTCCCACATGTTATGAAGGTTGAAGAAGCCGAAACCCTTTGCCTTACCATGGCTGCCTGCAAGCCGAATTCTGTTGCCCAGCTGAGCGTGTGTGATGTCTCACACCAAACTGGCAGGCACTCAATATAAGAGGCAAAATGCGACCTTGTAGCAAAAGCACATGTGCTATGTAATGTGAATCGCTTGATTCAGTGTGAAATAGTCTTCCCTTTGTTCTCTAAAATGTATCTTTTTAAATACTACTCTCCCTTTTTTTCCTCCCGCAGCTGCAAATGTTTCTACGCTCCCCCTATCTTCTCCGTCCCAGAGGCTAGTGCAGATAAGAAGGCAAAAAAATCGCACTCGCGACGAGATGTTCTCAGAGCTCACGCAGTCCTTCCGCACTGAAAGAGCTCAGCAGAATGCGTGGAGGCAAACAATGGCAGAGTCCAGGAAAGCGTTAAATGAACGCAATGAGAGGAGGGAGGAGCACGCTGAGAGGAGGCAGGATGCAATGCTGAGGCTAATGGGGGAGCAAACTGACATGCTCAGGCGACTGGTGGAGCTGCAGGAAAGGCAGCAGGAGCACAGACTGCCGCTTCAGCCCCTGTATAACTGCCTGCCCTCCTCCCCAAGTTCCATAGCCTCCTCACCCAGACGCCCAAGAATGCGGGGGGGAGGGAGAGGAGGCTATAGGCACACAGCCACTCCACCCCAGAGGATTGCCCAAGCAACAGAAGGCTGGAATTCAATAAGTTTTGAAGTGCAGTGTGGCCTTGTCCTTCCCTCCTCCCCTCATTCACCATCCAACCTGGTGCTTCCCTCCTCATCCACCCCTCCTGGGCTACCTTGCGAGTTTTCCCCCTATTTGTGTGATGAATTAATAAAGAATGCATGATTTGGAAACAATAATGCCTTTATTGCCTCTGAAACTGGTGATCAAAGGGGAGAGGTCGGCTGGCTTACAGGGAAGTATAGTCAACCAAGGGGGAGGGTTTTCATCAAGGAGAAACAAACAGAACTGTCACACCGTAGCCTGGCCAGTCATGAAACTGGTTTTCAAAGCTTCTCTGATGCGCAGGGTGCCCAACTGTGCTCTTCTAATCACCCAGGTGTCTGGCTGCGCGTAATCGGCCGCCAAGCGATTTGCCTCAACCTCCCACCCCGCCATAAACATCTCCCCCTTACTCTCACAGATATTGTGGAGCACACAGCAAGCAGCAATAACAATGGGAATATTGGTTTCGCTGAGGTCTAACCTAGTCAGTAAACTGCGCCAGTGAGCTTTTAAACGTCCAAATGCACATTCTACCACCATTCTGCACTTGCTCCGCCTATAGTTGAACTGCTCCTTACTACTGTCCAGGGTGCCTGTGTATGGCTTCATGAGCCATGGCATTAAGGGGTAGGCTGGGTCCCCAAGGATAGCTATAGGCATTTAAACATCCCCAATGGTAATTTTCTGGTCTGGGAAGTAAGTTCCTTCCTGCAGCTGTTCAAACAGACCAGAGTTCCTGAAGATGCGAGCGTCATGCACCTTTCCCGGCCATCCCACGTTGATGTTGGTGAAACGTCCCTTGTGATCCACCAGTGCTTGCAGCACCACTGAAAAGTACCCCGTCCGGTTCACGTACTGGCTGCCAAGGTGGTCTGGTCCCAAGATAGGGATATGCGTTCCGTCTATCACCCCACCACAGTTAGGAAATCCTATTGCAGCAAAGCCATCCACTATGACCTGCACATTTCCCAGAGTCACTACCCTTGATAGCAGCAGCTCAGTGATTGCGTTGGCTACTTGGATCACAGCAGCCCCCACAGTAGATTTACCCACTCCTAATTGATTCCTGACTGACCGGTAGCTGTCTGGCATTGCAAGCTTCCAGAGGGCTATCGCCACTCGCTTCTCAACTGTGTGGGCTGCTCTCATCTTGGTATTCTTGCGCTTCAGGGCAGGGAAAAGCAAGTCACAAAGTTCCATGAAAGTGCCCTTACGCATGCAACATTTTCGCAGCCACTAGGAATCATCCCAGACCTGCAACACTATGCAGTCCCACCAGTCTGTGCTTGTTTCCCGGGGCCAGAATCGGCGTTCCACGGCATGAACCTGCCCCATTACTACCATGATGTCCAAATTGCCAGGGCCCATGCTTTGAGAGAAGTCTGTGTTCATGTCCTCATCACTATCGTGATCGCGCTGTTGTCGCCTCCTCGCCTGCTTTTGCAGGTTCTGCACATACTGCAGGATAATGCGTGAGGTGTTTACAATGCTCACAGCAGCAGCGGTGAGCTGAGTGGGCTCCATGCTTGCCGTGGTATGGCGTCTGCAGGAGAGCAGAGTTGCAGCGGAAGCGGTGGAGGACGACGGTTAGCACCATGCACATTTCCCGAGGTAGAACACACGTACCCGGGAGCCCATGACAGACAACATGGAGAAATTCACTATCGAGGCAATAGCAGCAGAGCAGAGTTGCAGCGGAAGTGGTGTATGATATGGTTTGCAGACCTACTGCACTGTCTGCTGTCAGCAGCTCCCAGGACACAACAGCGGCGATGTCGGTGAGCTGAGCTGAGTGGGCTGCACGCTTGCCATGGTATGGCATCTGCGTGGAAAAAAAGCGCGAAATGATTGTCTGCCGTTGCTTTCACGGAAGGAGGGGAGACTGACGACATGTACCCAAAACCACCCATGACAATGTTTTTGCCCCATCAGGCATTGGGAGCTTAACCCAGAATTCCAATGGGCGGCAGAGACTGCGGGAACTGTGGGATAGCTACCCACAGTGCACCGCTCCGTAAGTCAATGCTAGCCATGGTAGTGTGGACGCACTCCGCCGACTTAATGCGCTTAGTGTGGACATACACAATCGACTGTATAAAATTGATTTCTAAAAATCGACTTTATAAAATCAACCTAATTTCGTAGTGTAGACATACCCTTACTGTGTTTGCAGGGTTAGACATGCAGACTAGTGTGGAACCTCAAGTCAAGGTGCCTCTTACCATCACAAAAATTCAGACTTTAGAGATAAACAGAAATATTCTAATCTAGTTACTTGCACTATTTTTATTTCACTTAGTGAGCTTTTATAACTACATTTTTCAGAAAACACCAGCCTTAAGAACAACAACATTTTAGGGTACCTGCAGCAGAAACAACTCCTTCTGTTCCTTGATATAATCTGTTAAAGATTGTTTGTCACTTTGGCAACCTTTTAAGAAAATTTAAATGTTGTTAAAATTAATCTGATGATGTTACTATTATTCGTTCAAATTCCATGATACAAGATCCCATAAATTACATTTGCATTCAAAGATTTACAGTACATGTTTATATCTTATTTAGTTTGATAAGCAAAAAATGACATCAAAAGAAGTCTTACTGGGATTAGTTTCAAAGAATTGACTAGACTTCCCAACGCTCTAATTTTGAAAACAGCACATTACATAAAGGAACAGCTTTTTGCAGCAGACTAATTCTTAGTACAGTGGTCCCCAAACTGTGGGGCATGCCCCCCCAAGGGGCACAGAGGAACATTGGAGGGGGGGATGTGGCGGGGCCCAGGTCAGCTCCCAAAGGGGATGGGGAGGGAGTGCCACCCAGCCCTGCTCTGCCCTCAGCCCAGCTCCACTCTGCCCCCTGCTCCGCCCCCAGCCCAGCTCTGCCCTCATTCCCTCTCTGCCCCCAGGCCAGCTCCGCCTCTAGCCCCAGCTCCTCCCTCATCCCCAGTTCAGCCCCCAGATCTGCCTTCAGTCCAAGCTCCTCTGCTGAGGAAGCCAGGACTGTGCAGAAATGGAACGGGGGTGGGGACACAAACAGATTCCATTACTGGTAAGGGGGGGGAAGTTTGGGCACCACTGTATTAGTAACAGACTGTCGTGGTGGTGAGATGGGGATGCAAACATTTGCACTCTCTTCAAAAAAACAGTCAGATCCTGCAACCAAATCCCTTTATCTATATGGAGCTCCACTGAAATCAATGGTGTTCTATGCAGGTGCAGGGGTCCAGTTACAGGGATCCAGTTACAGAATCTGGTCCTAAATGACAGATTTAGTTGTATGATAGATGAAAATCAATGTCAAGGTAAGCAACTCTGACATGTGTATAACAAAATATAAGCTAAAAGAGCGTACTCACATTTTGCAAAAGTAAGAGCCCAGTTGGGACCAGAAGTAATATACCCTTTATCTATTGTAGCCCGGGTCTCTCTTTCAATGACTGAGTCCATCTTTTTCACAGAGTCTCGAGACTTTGCTCGTGATGAAAATGTGCTCTTTTCATGGACCTTCAAATTCTGTTGAGCTATTCTATCCTGCATTTACAGATTTTCAGATAAGTGTGTTTATTAATGACACTATGAGCTCTTCGGGTAGGGACTTACCTTTCTGTAAAATACCATACATCTACAGCACTGTATAAATAATAACTCAGGGCCCTACTCTGCCACCCATATTCCATTTATTACCAAGTCCTGTAAAGATTTATGCATATGTTTAACTTTACTACTATGAGTTGCTCCATTGATTTCAATGGAACCACTCATGGTGGTAAAGTCTAGCACATGTGTAAGTCTGCAGGCCTGTGGCCTTAGTCTGGGTTGTAGTCCCATTGGTCTTAATGGGACTACAATACAGGTAGAGTAAGATACTCAGTGTGAGTAAGGGTGGTAGAATCTGGCCCTTAGCTTGTACACAGTAATGGCCCTGAATATATAAGCACTCTTTCCATTTGCTGAAACAGTTCAGAAGAACGGAGTGTCTATGACTATTCATACACATATAGTTGTATTAGATATATAAATTAAGATGCTATGTGAATTCATCTTTAAAGTACATTGCATAAAAGTCACTAAAAGAATAAGCTTTCATAAATTTCTTTAAGTTATTTAATTTATTTATTATTAGAACCATAGAAATTAGAGATGAAGAACTGGTCATTTCACCAGTGCAAGATTACGCACTACAGTACATATATTATGTAGTATGTACTCCTAACAAGTTGTGTGTGTGTGTGTGTGT